GGGGTCCCAGTTTCAACCAACCTGCTCCGCAGCGTCAAGCGAGACGCGCTGCAGGGCTCTAAACTCTGTGCAGAAACCTTTGTGGCAAACGACGTCGATGAAAAACCATGCTCACCGCACGACTCTTTGAGGATGCCCGAGCCCATCCGAATCTCACCTCCCAGAGGGATTGGGTGGCTGAAGAGGCTGTGGTTCCTCTCTGACTGGCATCGGGCGGTGCCAGGGAGGAGAAGCATGCCGACGTTTCTGAATTCGTTCAGTATCTCTTGTGCTTGGGGTTGCACGTGATGTTTCGAGTTTGTGCTTGCGACAAGGTCGGCGCACCACCTGTCGCCATCCACTGTAGTTCAGCTTCGCGACGGCCACGGCGAGCAACCACCGCCCTGGCGGCGGCGCGCCCACCGCTTTATCACGAGCGGGATTGGCCCCAGAACGGAAGTGCAGCCATTCCGTTGCTCTCTGAATTGAGTACATCTGACATGTTCAGTAGTTGTTGTGTGTGTGTGAGCGCGTGTGTGTGTGTGTGTTGACTTATATGTCTGCCTGTCTGTCTGTCCGTCTGTCTGTCGGTCTGTCTGTCAGTCTGTTTGTCTGTCTGTCTGTCTGTCAGTAGTTTGTCTGTTTTTCTGTCCGTCAGTCTGTTTGTCTGTCTATCTGTCTGTCTGTCCGTGCGTGTGCGTGTGCGTGTGCGTGTGCGTGTGCGTGTGCGCGTGCGTGTGCGCGTGCTTGTGCGCGTGCTTGTGCGCGTGCGCGTGCGCGTGCGCGTGTGCGTGCGTGTGTGTTGTGTGTGTTGTGTTTTGTGTGTGTTGGGTTTTGTATGTTGTGTGTTGTGTGTGTGTTGTTTGTGGTGTTAATGTTCTTTCAGAGCCGCTGAAGCGGCTGGAGGAGGAAGAGGAGGAGGAGGAGGAGGAGGAGGGGGGCAAGGAGAGGAGAAACAGGAAGGAGGTGTTCGAATGGTCCTCAAAGCTTTTGTGACGTTTCCGTCTCGGAGGCTTTCAGAGGTCTGCAGGGGCTGAAGGAGGGAAGGCGGAGGAGGGAATAATGGGATGAGACCAAGCCCCCACGTGCCCAACTTGGGCCGAGCTCTTTATTGATGTCGGCCCCAGCCAGGCCGAGATGCCACGTCTACCAATGCCTGGGCCCGACGCGAGCCCAGAGAGGCTTGGCGTCGGCGGCGGTCAGTTCCCTTCTCCCTGAAAGGTCTAACCGCACTGTGGTGTTCCGGCCGATCAAGGATCAGAGGGATAGCAAAATGTTCGGTGTCCCCCCGCTACCAATTCATGGCAGATTGGCCACCAGACGGAGGGCATCGACGATGACTGATGGTTGAAGAACATCTGGTGTGGCTAACAGAGCGCGCACCCACCCGGAAGCCCGCCAATACCCAGGCACCACACATGTCCATCGCGCCTCTTTCCCTCCTCCCACCCCTCCTCCATCCATCCGTCCGTCCGACACTCCACCCCCCCGCCTCTCCTTCACCCGCCCGTTCCTCACTCCCCCTCTCATGCCCCTCCCCATCCTCCCCCCCTTTCCCCCAAGAAGAGCGAGACAAGCACAGCCTCCCGTGTATGGTGCCGCGTGCCAGTAAGCCATGGCGTGAGAGGAAGTTGCTCGAGAAGTCTTCAGGGCACAGCTTAACTACAGTAGGAGGTTTCTGGGTCTGTTTGCGGTGCCAAAGCGGGTCTGGAACGTTTTCGGTTTTGAGCCCGGTCCGCCTGGGAAAGTGTTGGGGGTCTCAATTCCATCGAGATGAGCCCCAGGGGAACCCGTCCAATTGTCCCCCCTCGAAATCCAGGGGAAGGTAGTGCACATGTCTCACCTGGGGTCGTTTTTTGTTGAAGGTGTGGGTGCCTCGGTTCGAAAACCCCGAGTCGAGGTGGCCAGCTTGGGACTGGCCTTGTTGCAGCATGTATGCATGACCCCGTCCCAGCAGGCATAGAAGGCCTGATCAAAATTCAGAGGTGGGAGGTCCCGTCCAGGAATGAAAAAGTTGAGTGACCTGACGTGGCCCCCGCCTTACCGAGGCTCATGAGGCGGGCACCGACCCGCCCAGGGGGCTGGTCTGCGGCAGCTGTCGCCCGTACACCTAGCAGCCAGATGTGCAAGCTGGGTTGCGAATCGTCTCCGCAGTCGTCTCCAACCCCTCCCCCCTCCTGAGTCCTCCTTCGCCTCCCGTCCCCTCCCCTCTTAATGTTCCCCTCCCCTCCCCTTCTCCCGTTCCTTCGCCTCTCTTATTGTTCCCCTCCTCGGTTCGCCCCCCTTCCCCTCTTCTCTCCCCCCCTCCCAAGAGGAGCTGGTTCTCCTGGGCGGCAGGGCCACGACCCCGGACACCCTCCCTACGGACCTGCAGGCGCTGCGGGACCCGTCGCAGCCGCCGTCGATCGACGACAGCAACGACCACGACCACGACCGCGACCACGACCACGACCACGACCACGACCACGACCACGACCACGACCACGACCACGACCACGACCACTACGATGACGACGATGACGGCGGCGTCGGCGGGCGAGCCGATGAGCCGACGAGCTGCGGCACGTCCCCGTGTCCGCGCGCGCGGGAGCGCGCGAGCATTTGGGGATCGAGGGGCGACGGCGTTGGGTAAGTCTGGCCTCTCCTGGGCCTCGGCGTGCCCGGGCCGCCACCGCCGTCGTTGCCGCCGTCGTCATCGCCACCTTTGGAGGAGGAGGAGGAGGAGGAGGAGGGTGAGGAGGGGGAAGAGGAGGAGGAGGAGGAGGAGGAGGAGGAGGAGGTGGAAGAGGAGGTGGTGGTGGTGAGAGGGGTCCGAGGAAGAGAGGGGGGGGATGAGGAGGGCGTGGAGAGGAGCCCAGCTGGCCAGGAGTCGGCCCGGGTGGGCCCCAAGTTGGCCCGTATGGCCCCTAGGATTGCCCACAGCTTGCCAAAACTACGGGAAGCCCCCTCCAGTAGGAGCAGAGGAAGAGGGGGGATGGGGAGAGGAGAGGGGATGAAAGGGGAGGGGAGGGGGAGGGGAGGGGGATGATGATGATGATGATGATGATGATGATGATGATGATGAGGAGGAGGAGGAGGAGGAGGAGGAGGAGGAGGTGGAAGACGAGGGAGCGGAGGAGGCAGGGGAGGAGGAGGAGGAGGAGGAAGAGGTTGAGGAGGATGAGCAGGAGGAGGAGGAGGAGGAGTAGGAGGAGGAGGAGAAGGAGGAGGAGGAGGAGGAGAAGGAGGACCAGAGTCAACCCAAGATGCATCAACTAATGCTGCAAAACACCCTCCCGTCCCCCCCCCCTCCTCATATGTCCATCGAAATTTCCATTTCCTCTCCGAGTGCCCCCCCTTGGATGACGAACGGCCAGTCGGGCCGCCAATTAGAGGAGGCCGCTTACTGTAAAGCTTCATCTTTGCAATTGAAGGACGCACAGGGTCGCCCCATTTTGAGAGGCACATGTCCCCCATCCGTTTCAGCGCTGCAGGATGTCCTTCTCTGATGATGGCGGGGGTGATGTCCATGGCCGATCCGAGGTTGGATTTTCATCAGCTTCCAGACCCTGGATTCCTTATTTCAGGGTTCCTTGCCCCATGCCCCCACCGTCTTGGAAAGGACTCGCCGTCCACCCGCGCAGCTAATGAACAAATTGGACGCCGAGTACGCACGGCGCCAGGGCGAGAGCCCCCTTCTTGTAACTGACCCGCCATCGATGAACGATGGTGTGCGGCGCCAGCATAGCGAGCGCCCAAGTGTGAAAACCGTTTGTGGTTCACGTGCCCGCTCGATATGAATTCATCTGCTGTTTGAGGCCTCTTGCGGCGACGAGGACGGTGAAGATGAGGATGTGGATGCTGCTGCTGTCGGTGGCGTCAGTAAGCCATGGAGCGCTTGGGGAGGGATTGTAGCGTCTGGGAGCGTTTTGGAACGTTCGGGAACGTCGGAGGCAGTCCGGACCGCTCGGGTCCCAGGTCCCAAATCGGAGTCGGCGAGGGGTTCCCGAAACGCATCGATGCATTAGGTATTTGTTATATAATCATTATTTGATGTGGTGAGTTTCATGCCGAAGCCGATGTTGAATGTCATCAGATGCGCACCGAATATTTCCTTGTGCATAGGATGGTGAGGGATGGGTCGGATTCATGTACGCCGAATTCTGTGCGCCTGCAGAGGACGGTGAGGATCGGGCTGGATTTCTGAGTACGGAATGGTCTTTACCATAAATGATGAAGGTTGTGACGTATGGATGTACACCGAATCTCATATTTTGCATCGGATGGTGAGGGTTGGGTCGGATGCCGGATGGATGTGCACCGAATATATTGTCCACGGAACGGGAATCGATGTGTCGAGTGGATGTGTTCCGAAGAACATTTTGTTACATCGGATGGTCGATGGTTGGGTCGTATGGATGTGAGCAGACCTGTATGTTTTGTATCGGATGGGGAAGGTTGGGCCGTATGGATGTGCTCGACGTAACGGCGAGAGCAACATTTTGAAAAGGAGCCGGCCCTTATCCTTTCAGCTAGTAAGAAAAGGATCCGGCCTCCATCTTTGGAACTGCTGCAAGGTTTTAAAACGGAAATGCGCAGCGTTACTGCGAGAGACACCTATTGAAAGCCTACCAGGCTCCATCCTTGAACCTGCTGTCAATGTTTAACCTTCGCATCATATTTGGCGTAGGGGTCGCAAGCGAAACGCCCTGCCAGGCCGATGGTGCAACAGGGAGAGGATACCTATGAAGATCAGGGAATGGGGAGGATGAGAAGGATTATGGATGATGGTGGCCATGCTGTTGCTGCTGCTGCTGCCGAGGAGGAGGAGGAGGAGGAGGAGGAGGAGAGGAAGAGGAGGAGCAGGAGGAGGAGGAGGAGAACAAAAAGAGGAAGAGGAAGAGAAGGAGGAGGAGGAGGAGGAGGAGGAGGCAGGAGGAGGACCAAAAGGAGGAGAGGAGGAGGGCGGAGGAAAAGGGAGGGGGGATAGGATGGCCAGGGGAGGATGGGGGGAGGTGGGAGGAGGACCCGCGAGTCGGCAGGTGATGCGGCGCAAGAGCGTCGACAGCGAGTCCGTGAGGCACTGGTCGACCTCCTCCATGGGCTCGGCGGCCCTGGCCCGGACGAACTCCCCTCGCGGCCGACCCATGCTGCCTTCTGGCTCCACCTCCCACCCTCCTCCTTGCATCCTTTCCATCTGCTCGTACTCCCTCCCCCTCCTCCTCCTCCTCCTCCTCCTCCTCCTCCTCCTCCTTATCCTCATTGTCCTCCTCCTCCTCCTCCTCCTCCTCCTCCTTCTCTTCCTCCTCCTCCTCTTTCTTATTAGTATCTCCTCTTCCCCAATCTTCCTTCCTTATCCTCCTCCTCCTCCTCCTCCTTATCCTCATTATCCTCCTCCTCCTCCTCCTCCTCCTCCTCCTCCTCCCTCCCTCCTCCTCGGTCCCCTCCTCCCCCTCCTCATCCTCTCTCCTCCTCCTCCTCCTTCTCCTCCTCCTCCTCCTCCTCCTCCTCCTCCTCCTCCTCATCATCATCATCATCATCATCATCATCATCATCATCATCCCCCTCCTCCTCCGCTTCTTCCTCGCCCTCCTCCTCCTTTCCCCCATCCTCCCCTTCCTTCTCCTCCTCCTCCTTCTCCTCCTCCCCCTCCTCGTCATCATCATCATCCTCATCCTCATCATCATCAGCATCAGCATCAGCAGCATCATCATCATCCTCCTCCTCATCATCATCATCATCATCATCATCATCATCATCATCATCATCATCAGCAGCATCATCATCATCGTCACCATCCATTATTCTCTTGACGGGGAGCACGAGCTGGCCGCGGAGCTCGTCGGGCCCTGCGAGCCCAGTCCAATGTAGGCTTGTGGACGCTCGTGGATGCCGAGCTCGCCAGGCCTTGGCGCGAGGTGCAGGCGTCGAACGTCGAGAGCCACCGTGACCGCCAGACGGTCCTCCGGGAGGGCGCTGCGGCCTGGCTCTCCTCTCCCTCGGCAGCGAGCGCGGGGACACCCGCGCTGGTGTGAGGCGGCCCTGCGGGCGCGGCTCCCCGACCACGTCGGGGGGGCCGCTCCTGGAGCTCGAGGCGCGGGCCGCCCTCGTGCTGAGAGGCGGCCGGGCGCCGCCACGCCGGCGGCTTGCCCGGCGGGGCCCACGGCGGGCGCCGCCCCCGGCGCGCCGCCGCGCGACGCGGGCGGCCCGGTCGCGGTCCGCTTCGGCCGCGCGCGGGCGGCCTCCGCACACGGCGCGCCCGCCGGTCCGACCGGGCTGGGGTGCAGCTGCTGCGGCGCCGCGTGCGGGCTGCTGCCCCGCCAGCGCGCCCTCGGCGGGCTGGGACGGACGTGCCGCGGGCCCTGAGCGTGCGCAGCGCCCGCGTGGCCGGGCGGCGTGAGGTGTGCCGGGAGCCTGCCCAGCTCGGGCGTGCCACGCCTCGTCCTTCTCGCGCCGTGTGCTTCTGCGAGTCGTGCCGCCCCGGGAGCTGCGCGAGCTGTGGCGCGGTCGCCACCTCGCAGGCCTAGAGGTTGACACCAACACCAAGATCGGCGATGTTCCTCCACCGAGGGAAGAAGATCCCGATCTCGGTGATGGTGGTAATATTCTGGCTTCCAAGGTGGCCGAAATATTACCACCAACACCAAAATCTAGGATCACCTTCCCCCTGTGGAGGCAGCCCTCTGTCTTGGTGGTGGTGCCCATTTCCAGGCCTCCCACCACCCCCCAGCTCCGCGCCCATGCGAGGACTCCGTCGGCACCAGTTTGTCAGCGCAGGGGCGCAGAATCTCCAGGCCTCGGGGAAAGGCCTGTTTCCTGGGCACTGGACTGTCGCACGAGCCTTCAACAAGAAGAAGGCCGTTGCGGCTGCGCCTGCTGGGACGGCAGTACCCCAGCGTGGGCGGAGGTAAGCCAGGTTGCAACCTGGCCCCCTGGCTGGGCGGATCGGCGGGAGCTTCGTTTTCCCGTCCTGCCGTGTGTCGAGGGTGGGCCTCGATGCGCGCCAGTCGCCCCTGGAGTTGTAATTGGCTGAGGGGGGTTCAAGCGGGCACTATGTTAAGATATTCCATGTCCAGGAAACGTTCGAGGCCAGTGCAAAACAAAAAACATTCGAAGTTGCTAACATCCTGACGTGGGGAAACAGTTTAGAAAAATTATCCGGAGCGCGTGTGCGAATTCTCGTGAAATGCATAATTGGTGTCGAATTGTGTCCGAATTTGGTCGGCCGTTTTTCAGATGTTCTGCGGACTTTGAAACTTAGCTCGGACTTGTTCAAATTGTTCGAACTGTTTCAAGCTCTGTTGACCATTTCACGTTTCCGATCGCTCCCTGGACTTGTGAGCTTGTTTCGAAGCCTTGCTTCCTTTGGCTCCCGAGCTAAAGCCTTCCCCCCGCCCGCACCCAAGCCGCAACTTGATCTGTTCAAGGCAAGCCCATCTCTTCCCTCATCAGCCAATTGGAGAGGCCTGACGGCCGGTGCCGCCGACCCTGATCGAAAGGGCTAGGAGTGGGGGGAGGAAGCGGAGGAGGAAGAGGAGGAGG